ACTTATTGTGCTCACAGAGACAGCCACAAAACAGACATGTTTGTTGCATTGACTTGAAATCTTTTGCAAATCGATTAAAACTCGTGCTTGAGAACAATGGTGGCCCAATCAAGCGATATTGATCCTTGAAATTACTTTTTGAGTGAATTAAAAGCTTATTTTACTTTGTTATGCTCCCGGGGAAAAAAGTGTGATTTATTTTGCAACACCTCTTACAATACGAAGTTGAAGCAAACAAAAATGTCAATACGCTTATTTCAGAGTATTGTGACACAAATCACTTGAATTCTGCTAGTTTCAAACACGTCTCTGAGTTAACTGGCTAGATATATTTACAATAATAACAGGTAATAAAATAAGAACCAAAACTCGAGCGCTTTCGAATAGTTGACTATTCTTCAGGAGAACAAATAGTCAACTATTCGAAAGCGCTCGAATTTTTTAAGTTTATTACACTTTATATGTGATCCTTTGTGCTAACTTTTTTATCAAGAATACTAACAGGTATTTATGACTCACTTTTTGAGTTCAGTCGTAAAAAACATGACTTGATACTTGTAGAGATAACAGGACGGGTTTGTAAATAGAGCTTCTCAGTTATTGCAATTAAAATAACAAAACATTAAGAGAAAAAGTAAAAATAAATGTTCAAAAAATGATAATACATACTATATAAAAAGATAAGTTTCGTTCGCTAGTATTTAATAATACTTACCAGTACATTTCTAATGTCAGCTGCAGTGGGACCTAAGGTCATAATCATAGAATCATCATAATCCACCTCTGGAATTAAAAGGTCTACGTGGTCGCCCGATTCTATCGGTAAACTCTCCTATTACAGAAAATGTGATGATACTGTTTGTTTAAAAAAACTGTTTTGTGGACTTTAAAACATTATAAAACATATATAATACATTATCATGGATTATACTGTCATGTAGAGTATTAGACACGCCATACTGATCTCAGTCCTTCTTATATGGCAGTTAAATCTTGGGTTAGTTAACAGGTAAACAACACGAGAAAAATGCGTCGCAAAAAAAAAGTGTAAGAATTGAGGAGAGAATATTATATGATAAGCTAAGTGCTCATAAATCAGCTATCCACTTTAATGTAATACAGAACGCAAAGCTATCTTTATTACACAGATGATTGTCAGGTTTTGTATAGGGCCGGATTCTTCACAATAAGTGTCTGTGGCTAGTTGGCGATAAAAATGGTCTTATTGATAATAATTATTATTATCAGAAAGTAAGTGACGTTGTCAGTCATTATTACTATCAGAGGAAGTGACGTTGTCAGCTAATGTTATTACAAAAACTTCACTTGTTTTTAGTGATTTTTTTTCAAAGCAAAACTTGAAAACGAATAATGTTTAAACAATTTTTAAATAAGTACTTTTAACTGATGAGAACATTTCAAGAGTTTTACTTATTTACTTTTATAATCCAAGTGCAATTTATTTACCTTAACAAAGAGAGGGTTAGAACGTCCACGAACTCCGGTGAAGGATAAAGGCGGCATTTCATCGTGATCAGTATCTCGAACATGGTGCTGATAGGATTCGGAAATTCGGTCAGGATATGATTCTAAATCCTGAGAAGGTGGAGAGGAATCGCTCTCTGTTGGATAATATGGATCCCGAGACAGTAAATTCCAGTTGGAAACATTCGTTGGTGGTAGATTTGTTCTTCTTTCCTGTAGAGACAGTTTTTAACAATGACAAAGTGTTATCCTTTCATGATCACGTCTCTAGTTAACAATGACAAAGTGTTATCCTTTCATGATCACGTCTCTAGTTAACAATGACAAGGTGTTATTCTTTCATCCTTTCATGATCACGTCTCTAGATTCATATCAGAAAGTTAACTTGAAACGAGGGTATTGAAATTAATAAGCGATAATACGTTTCATGATTATCAAAAATAACTTATTTCAGAAGCAAAATTAATAAGAGTTTAAGATATAAGAATGACGGAATAAATACAGCGAATACATAAACTTACATGTAGACGATCGTCAACCAATTGTGGTTCTCTAGTTGGAAGATCATTTCTTCTTCGCTGCTTCTTAACTCTGAGAAATATATATAATATAAATATTAAGCATACGAATATATGAAAAACAAACAAGAACACATTAGTATTGAATAATAAGTATTATTCACAATCAGAAAAATTCAATTTTAATCAACTTTTAAAACAAAAAACTAAATACCCAGACGTGATTACAATCGTTTAATAGTTGCAGTTATTAACGATCATGCACTTATACCATATCGAAGTCAATAATCAAGATCGTAATACCTAGCGGCATATAATAAAGTTCCCAGATTTTCATCTGGACACGTTTTATCAAACGACAAGTGATATTAGCTTTAACTGACAAATTTAACGACAAATGATATTAACTTTAATTAACAAATTTAACGGCAGGTGATATTAACTTTAATTAACAAATTTCATGTCAGCTTATTTAAATCTTATCTTTTTAGAAATATCATAATGTTTTAAAACTCCACTGCTATGTCAGTTTATTTTAATTTTATTTTCCTAGAGATGTCGTGATATTTGAAAAATTCACAAGTATATCAGCTTATTTTAATCTTATATTGTTGGAGATAAACTGTTCACTACGAAAACATAAGTCAGTCCTCATGATTCAGATAGTTGAAGATACTTGAAAAACTACACGGATCTATGAAATAAAGAGTTCCAGGTTGCAATAATGTAATTATTTATTTAGAGAAAGAGATATTTCTCGTACCTTAATATACATTTATAACTCAGTTCTTAACGTATGATCATATATGTTTGATAAAGTTCACTAGGTAGAAGAAAGCTACCCGTAACTTTATTCTTAGGTATGAATATAAATTAACTGACAATTTGGTAAAAAAACAACAACATTATACTTACCTGAAAGCGACGAGGAACATTAAAGCGAGGAAGAGAACAGATCCAAGCACCACAACAACTACCATCAGCACCTTAGCATCTGCTGGTTAGTAATTTTACTTTATTAATATCAGAAAAGAATTAGAAAAGTCATGAAAGATATACATAATTATATATTAGGAAAATGTGATTATGATTACAATAAATACAATAAACCTGCTAACTGTAATGAATGAATTAGACTTTAAGTTAAATATATTGTTAACTAATAGTCAATGATCTAAGTTGAATAGATTGTTAACCATTATTTTAAGAGCTCTATAAGTTAAATAGATTGTTAAACACTAGTTAAGAATTTAAGTTAAATAGATTGTTAAACATTAGTTAATGATCTGAGTTAGATAGATTGTTAACCATTAGTTAATGATCTAAATTAAATACATTATTAACCATTAGTTCACGAGCTGTATAAGTTAAATAGATTGTTAAACACTAGTTAAGAATTTAAGTTAAATAGATTGTTAAACACTAGTTAATGATGTAAGTTAGATAGATTGTTAACCATTAGTTAATGATCTAAGTTAAATAGGTTGTTAACTATCAGTTCACGACCTGTATAAGTTAAATAGATTGTTAAAACACAGCTAAGGATATAAGTTAAATAGATTGTTAAAACACCAGCTAAGGATAAAAGTTAAATAGATTGTTAACTATTAGTTTACGAGCCGTTAAGGTAAATAGGTTGTTAAACACTAGTTAAGGATCCAAGATAAATAGGTTGTTAAAACACCAGCTAAGAATATAAGTTAAATTAAGTTAACAATTAATTCACGAACTGTATAAATTAAATAGATTGTTAAGCACTAGTTTACAAGCTGTCTTTATTGTGTTGCCTCCATTGTGAATTTGTTCATAAATCCTTATTTCAAGGCATTTTTTATTATCATGGCATGGTTTTACCACGAAAAGAATTTTTTCTTCACTTTAAATGCTCGAAATTTAAATTTGTTTCATATTAATGCAAAAAACGAAGATCATAAAATCCTGAAATTATTTTTGATCGATTTAAAATAAAAACTTTTACGACGTAAATTAAAAAGTTACTACTCACTTTTCTATTATGAAAATTTGTCTTGAATTATTCTCGCGCTGATAAAAATTATTATTGTACTCGTTCTCATTCTTGTACAAATTAAACTTATACTCGTTCTCATTCTTGTACAAATTAGACCTCTATTTGTTCTCATTCTTGTACTAATTAAACTTATACTCGTTCTCATTCTTGTACAAATTAGACCTCTATTCGTTCTCATTCTTGTACAAATTAGGCCTCTATTCGTTCTCATTCTTGTACAAATTAGGCCTCTATTCGTTCTCATTCTTGTACAAATTAAACTTATACTCCGTCTCATTCTTGTACTAATTAAACTTATACTCGTTCTCATTCCTGTACAAATTAGACCTCTATTCGTTCTCATTCTTGTACAAATTAGACCTCTATTCGTTCTCATTCCTGTACAAATTAAACTTATACTCGTTCTCATTCTTGTACAAATTAGACCTCTATTCGTTCTCATTCTTGTACAAATTAGGCCTCTATTCGTTCTCATTCTTGTACAAATTAGACCTCTATTCGTTCTCATTCTTGTACTAATTAAACTTATACTCCGTCTCATTCTTGTACAAATTAAACTTATACTCGTTCTCATTCTTGTACAAATTAGGCCTCTATTCGTTCTCATTCTTGTACTAATTAAACTTATACTCCGTCTCATTCTTGTACTAATTAAATTTATACTCGTTCTCATTCCTGTACAAATTAGACCTCTATTCGTTCTCATTCTTGTACAAATTAGGCCTCTATTCGTTCTCATTCTTGTACAAATTAAACTTATACTCGTTCTAGATCTCATACAAACCAGTCTACCATCTTTCTCTCAGCAAGTACCACATGTTTAGCTCATCAAAATTTGGTAATGTAATTTCTAACCATGAGGGCTTATAATTTTAAAATTCAAATTTCGATATTCGCGATGGGCACAGCTCAGATAGTCTACAGTGTATTTTGGGCTTAATATACCAAACAAACAAAACAAACGAACTTTATAATAAGTTGAATGTCCTACTGTTGAAGTTATCTTTCTTAAGTAAAAAAACAAACGTAACCATTAGAAGTATTTGTTACTTTTTCGTAATGACGAAAGTGCATTTTTTTTGCCAACTTTGAGAATTAAAAAAAATTACAAAATTATCGGTGATTACATTCATTAGTTAAAAAGGAAGAAAAAGAAAACACAAGCTATGTAACTGTATGATTTTGAAATCAAAGTTAGTACTTACTGTTTCTATCTTCAGGTTTCGCTACTGGGATAGTTTGTTCACAATGTTCTCCAAAATATCCATCTTTACAACTGAAAGCAAGAACAGAATAATTTTTAATTATAAAAACACTCAATAGCGTTAAAAGTTTCACCTAAGGTTTATAATGTAAACTACTCTAGTAATCAGGAGAATCACATATCATGAGTTACTCTAGTAAAAAGAGTAATCGTAAAATATGCTTAGCTAACATAATACTCTGGTTACCAGGATCATTTCCTATCGCACTCTTTGAAAGATACTTAAAGAACATAATACTCTGGTTACCAGGATCATTTCCTATCGCACTCTTTGAAAGATACTTAAAGAACATAATACTCTAGATTAAAGGTATATACTCTAATATACCCATTATTAATTCTCACTTAATAACTCCGGTAACCATGATTATTCGATATTATATTCTTTTCAATAATTATTAACTCTAATAAACAAATAAACCAGGAACAACATACTGACCTACAAGTATAAGCATCTGATCCTTTCAGACTACAGTTTCCATATCTACCGCACGGATCACCCTCACAAACACCTGAAAAGGTAAGATACGTTCTCAGAACACTGATATCTTAAGAATTATTGAGATATAGAACTCGATTTATAACTTAAATATCCTTCATTATAGACGATAAATGCTCTAATTGTTTTACCTAAACATTCTTGACAGTAAAAGTTCTACTAGTTTTATTTAGGAATCTTTCATTCTGGAAAAATGTTCTAAAGTTTTACCTACACATTTTTGTTTTTGAAAGTAAAACTTCTAATTGTTTTACCTATACATCCTTCCCTCTTTACATCTGAGGATTCATTTTTCTTCTTGAAACCTTTCTCACACTGACAAAAAAAATCACCCGGCGTGTTGACGCAGTTGGTGCCTTTTGGATGACAGCTTCCTTGGACATTACATTCGTCTATGTCTAAAGAAAACGAAATTTAAACCAAGTTCATTCTAGTTGTAAATATTGTCAAGAATAACGATAAATGTGAAATGAAACTTCATATGTCTGAGGCTAAAAATATTTATATTTCAATTACAAACAACCTAACCTTCCAGATGAAAGTTTTTATTTACTTAATCGGAAGTTATATGTGATATTCTACACAGAAACTTATTCACAATAATAACGCAAGAACATGCTACAAATATGTGACGTAACATACTGAGAAGATAAAACACTATTGTTGGAAAACTTAACTCTTAGGTTAGGAACCCTCAGAGCTATTGGTATTTGCGGCCCTTTAACGCAGAATATATGGTGTAACAAATCTTGGTTAGATTAGGAGAATACTAATAATAGAAACTGTTTTGAAAATCCAGGTAATAAGTTATTTGATGATGCTTTGACTTTTTAACATAGTTTGTGAGAAAGAATTAGCAGTAGCATATTAGGATTGACGGCATAAAATTGATAGTCAAGAGGTTGAATTTATGAGAGTTACAACTGGGGTTAGGATTGAAGGGATAAAAATGGTAGTACAGAGATTGAATTTATGAGGGTTATAATTGGGGTTTAAAGGTATTCTAAGCTAAATGAGATCACAATGATATCCGCATTGCTACTAGTAAAAATAGTGATGCAATAATATGGAGACTTTATTCTTTAGTTTTAAACACATTGAGTAATGAGTTTAATAGTAAAGGGAAGTGAATCTTGTAATGAGTTTAACAGTAAAGGGAAGTGAATGCTGTAAGGAGTTTAACAGTGAAGGGAAGT